ATTTGATTCTACCATATCTGGGTCTTGAGAAGAAGATTTTTGAAATTTTAGTCAATTTGACCCTTTTTGGCCCCGCCCCTCAGGCCCCTGGGGACCGGGGACAAAACCAGCAACTTATTTTGTTGACCTTTGGGCATGGAAGGTTTCTGCAAAATTTCATTGAAATTGATTCAGGGGTTTTGGAGAAGAAGTTGAAAATGTAAATTGTTTACGGACGCACGACGGACGACGACGGACAAAAGGCGATCGCAATAGGTCACTTGAGACTTTGTCTCAGGTGACCTAAAAATTATAAATCTCGAAAAATGCTACATCACACTGTTCAATGCATCCAACCTTAATTTATCAAAATGTTGGGGGTATAGGCAGGGTGACCTATTTAACTTTTGAAACTTATGAAAGAAAAAAAAAGAATTTTTTTTTAAAACATGCCATGTCTTTTAATTTGTTTTCATTCCTAATAATAATAGTTTGAGGTTCTTATATACCGCTTTATCACAACCAAGCTCCTAGGTCGTCTCAAATACTCTCAAAAAATATTTTTTTGCAACATTTCCAGATATCGAGTCTCCCAAGTTTAAGAATGTAACAGAACAAATGGGTGCGATTGCCTAATCCGTAATAAAAGATTGTGCTCTGTATACCTCTATTGAGCCCCGTCCTGCTGTACTATGAGGAGCAAGACTCTCCGGTTATACTGGCTAAAGAGCATTACCCTGGTCTCCTAGGTTATTCAGAAGATATTTGTTGTGTTTTCTTTTGTTTAGCATATTTGGCACCTAAGTTAAAGTTAGTTTCCAATACAGAAGCCGATAGCTCCTCTACACTGGACTCATAAATTAACCAATTGTATAATATATAATTAAAGTTTAATGTCACTGTGACCCATGTCAACTCCCAACAACCCAGGTGCAGTATAATATGGTTTGGGTGGGTTTTGCGGCATCTGTGCTGTAGCATTCAAGTGAGGTGGCACTATAAATGATACCGTTGGAAACACGGTCCCACTACTAACAGAACCATACACACATAGGGAGATTCTAGCCAGGTGGCATAGGACTAGTAGTGAGCGCCCGATAAGGCAGCTCCTGCGAATTCCTCAATATTGTTATGATTAATATGGATGCTAATTGTATTGACTGTATAAAATTGTATATCTATGTACTGTAAAGCGCTTTAGAGTGACTTACCTCAGCTAAATACGGCGCTATAGCAAATTTTGCATACATATATTATTTATGCGGCGTTGAAAGTAGGTCAAGGTCATTTCTTTGATGAAACTTTGTACTAACGCCATCACAACATACTATATTGGCCAACTATCATCACCCGTCATTCTTTGTTGTTGTTTAAAAGATTTTTACTTATTTGACCCATGCAACATTAAAAGTAGGTAAAGGAAATATAAAACTACTCTATCCCAGCATGCTACTGGTCAAATATTATCACACATGTCCTCCTGATTATGCAAACAATTTTTTTACATATTTGACTCGTGACCTTTAAAGTTGGTCAAGGTCATTTATTGGGGGAAAATGTATAGCACCCCATGCCAGGTACCTACTGGCCGATTACCATTTCTGTGGGCCTCCTTGTTGTTGTCAATGTCATTTTTTTGAGGACAGTTTAAAGTCTAACCAAGTCACAGCATGCTATTGGTCAAATATCACCATGTGTCTTAGTTATGTAGCAAAAGTCGTTCAAATGTGCTCAATTCAAGGTCAACTCATTTACTTGGGGAAATTTTATAGTCTATGCTGGGTATCCACTTGCCAAGTATCACCACGGCAGGTATTCTGGTTATTTTCATTATTTACCCAGTGACCTTGAAGGTTCAGTCTTGCTTGAAGCAAGTTTCATACTAAAATTTGAAGACCCATGTGATGTTGAAAGTAGGTCATGGTTATTTCTTTGCACTACACTAATCCAGCATGATATTGGCCAAACGTCATCACCCTTGCATTATCATGAAGAAGTTGTCAACAATAAGAGTTTAAAACATTTGACCCTTGTGACATTAAAAATAGCTCAAGGTTCTTACTTGAAAGAAGGTCAATGTCATTTAATCCAGTAAACTTCAAAAGTACTTCATCTTGGGTACCTACTGGTCGATTAGCATTACACTAAGCCTCTTGGTTATTAAAAAGAAGTACCTACCAGCCATCTATCATCTCATTGGGCTAACATCGAGTTAACATATTTGATGCCCTTGACCTTGAAAGTAGGTCAGTGCCATTTATAGCACATCACAGGCCAAATATCATCACCATAGGGTTCTCCTAGTTAAGACATTTGACCTTCAAAGTACATCAAGGTCATCCATTTGAGGAAACTTCATAACACCACATCCCTCGTCCTTCAGAAGGTGGTACCAGAGAGTTGGCCTTAGAAAATATATGTTCCAAATTTGCAACAGATTGGGTGAGTTTTAACTGCACAAATTTTCACAGGTTTAAGTGACAGTAAAGACCACCATGGTTGTTGTTAAAAACTAAAACTTGAAAACTGAATTATTCTTTTCAACATTTTATTCAGATTGTTACGATTGAAAAAAAGTTCTACAACAATATTCATCGCCAATGTGGAGAATGTGAATGTATTTACATATGATAATGAGAAGCACTGAATAGTTTAATACAACACCTTTATACAAGAAAATACCATCTATTGGGCCCTTATATTGGTACAAACATAAAAGACTTCAATATAAGTTTTTTTTTATATTCAGATAAAAGACAGGATGCAGGTACCCCAAAAATGCTTTTTCTATTGACATTTAAAATGTAGTTCTGTAAAACACTTATTTCACTCTTCGAGTTACTTTTAACAATGTTAACAAGAAAATATAACAAAAAAAACACCTATTACATCAACAATAAAAGTATGGACTGTTAATATTTGAATGGCAACATGATCCGTTTTTATAAATGCCCCAATGTTCATTCAGTTTCTCTAAACAAAAGACCCAAAATATTATTCTATGCCTCTAAGTTATTCAGAAGCTATGAGTTGAAGAAACAATTTGATGCCAGAGAATCGCAGCACCATCGCATGAGCTCACAGACAAGCAAAATGAGCTTAAAAGTGATTTCCCCCCCAAAGCTGTAATGGACCAGTGATTTCAAAAATGTGTAGCATGATAAGAAAAAGACATCTACTGAACTTTATACAACGAAATGGGGACTATTTAATTTCATGTTGTGCTTAAAGAGTAACTCCATGTAATACAGCTAAAACATCTGCCTTTAAAAGTATTTACAACAAAAACAAAAAGTTTGAATCAATGTCATGACTTTAACATACATCTCATGTATATTTTCAATCTTTACTTCACTAAGCTGGAACATATTCGCCCTTCGCAGGTAAAGAAAGTTTCCCCGCAAGCTATCATAACAAGACAGTTTGCACCAACTCTTGACAAAACATGAAAAGTTCCTGATTACAAGCAAGACTGTCATGCACACCTGTTGTTAGAACAAGACTTGAAATCAGAAATTTTAATCCATCATAGGGAAAACTAGCCCATATGATCCAGCACTAGGAATCTCAACAATGTCCAACAATATGATAAAATCTTCTTTCATATGCTAAAGTTTGTTTCCCAAAATGTCTATTCGTCATCCTCTTCCTCCTCCTCATCGTCATCCTCCTCATCTTCATCATCATCTTCCTCCTCATCATCATCGTCATCCTCCTCCTCTTGGACTGCTGCCACTTGAGGAGGTGCAGCCTTGGGTTTCTTAGCTGGCATCAGTTGCTCAAGGGGAACATCTTTAAAGGACTTGCATTGTTTGTACTGCTCATTTTGCTGAAAGAGAGAATACAGTATTGAAACATGAAGATAATAGTACAATAATTATAAGCATTTTGTTTATCGAGTTTAGTGTTATGTTTATAGCCAAGGTCATTCAAACGCCCTTGGCTGTTGGGAGGATGTTGAACCACAACCATCAAACAAACAAACAGTAAATGCCATACCACCACATACATGGGTGCATAGAAGTTAAAAGCAATTACAGTATTCTGCTTATGTGAACAAAAGTTCACACATTTTTATCAGAGTTACTCCCCTTGCATTACATTTTGCTGCTCAAATCATCCCACCTGAAAATTTGATATAAATCTTACTATTTCATATCTTTTCTTGTCTGCAATGGCCTTCTGTTCATAACAGGGTTTGTTGGGACATTTCTCCCATTGTTTACCCAGATCCTTGGCCACATCTGCTACCGTCCAGTTGGGGTTCTTTGCCTTCACATTTCCTCTCTCATCAGCACAGAAGAAGAAGAATGCAGACCTGTGAATAAACAGAATATTAAATTGGTTATTATCAATATATATATAATAGCTTAAGAAAAATTACCAAAATTACGGAGAAAATCCTGGAATTTGAGGGCAATGTGCCATTTCCCCAAATTTTTAGTCAATATCAAAATTAAGAGGAGCGATGTGAACTATGTATAGATGTGAAACGTGAACAGACCACAATTACTAGCGTGTAATTATGAGTAATGATGTCCGTTAATTATCAAGGATTTAATCTACCTTTAGATTTTCATAGGTGACTGGGCAACCAAAATAATAAATACAAACACAGAAGTTCAGACAGTAGCATTCCGTAAAATGCCAAACGTCTGCCGACCTACTTTTGTTATATTGTTTTCGGCCATCAAATTTCAATTCTTGAAATAAGTAAGCTATGTGAGAAGCTTTATCAACAAAAGACTGTCGATACAACTTCTAGAAAACTAGAAATGAATTTGGCTACAGTAATTCAGATCGTAACACTAACAGTGATTTTTCAGCCTAAATAAATGGGGCCGGGTACCAATCTCATTCCCAATGAGATTTCATCCAAATAATTCCCAAATGCCCCGCTGAAATTCCCAACTAATTACCCATTTTAATTTCGGACATTTTGACCCAGTCATTTGTTTTTGCGTATAGAATGCAAGTCGTCTGCAATTGCTTAGCTGATCACTAATCACTGAAAAATATGGTGTCTAGACACGTCTCACAACAGCAAATACTTTGCCAAAAAAAAAATTGCTATTGGACAGTAAGGGCTCCAAAAGCAACCAAGTTGTTTTGGAAACCATTTTGGTGCCAAATTCATAAATAGCACATGGTTTTCAGTTTGACAGTAATCATTACAATAATTAAATTTGATAACTATATCACTATTTAAGTTCATATTGAAAACAGCATTGTTGTGATAAAAAGAAGTTTACTTATTGATAACAGGTAGCTAGGCCCTGTTAATTTCCTTACTTAAGTTGTTGGTTTTTTAAATAGAATTTTTAAAATAAATCATTGATTTAAAAATTAATCGATAATTTGTCAAAATAAATACCTTTGGTTGGGATGTTATAATTTATTTATCCTCAGATATTTATTCATTTATTTCTATGATGATATTCTTCGGGGAAAAAAGTATTTGCTTAAATTATCCATTTTCTCGAATCAGACATTTTTTTTATTATAAAAAAAATCAAGATAAAGAAAAGGGAAAGAAAACGAACAATAATAATGAAATGTCAAGATTTAATAATGCTATTTATTTAGAATTAACTATATTTATTTTTTTTACTCGTGTTAAGGGTTGTCTTTTTCAAATTGAAAAGCTTCGCTCACGATTGATGGGTTGCGATGTGGAAATGGTTCGCAGCGCTGTGATGGAAGGGTTAAAAAATAGATGCCATTATAGCGCAACAAAAAAAATCTTGGGAGAACACTGTTTTGTGTACACAAACAGATCTTTCAACAACCAACATTTTAACACACAGAAACATCACCTAGATATGGCAATATGAACTGTTAGGCGTGTCATTCTGCCTGGTCAATGTATCATTTCAGTGATGTGACATTTTTGAGTGGCCATTTAACATGTGGACATCTGTACTTGTACCTATATAGATATTATCAAAATACTTACAATGACCGCTTAGGTGCATTAGGGTCCTTCGTCCTTTTTCTGCTCTTCTTCTCGCCCTTTGGAGGTACATATGATCGCATCTGGCCATCATAGCGCACTTTATCTTTCTGAGCCATATCTTCAAACCGCATTTTCTCCTGGGCCGACATTGTCTATATTACCAAAAAATTATCATTACTATTTTGTTTGAAATATCGAACCAGTAAATATATATATATACACAAGGTTTGTAGCAATTGAGCCTTTGATCTGTTTGTTTTTGTGCTTCAGTTCTTTTGGGTTTGACTTATGGAGACTTTACAAACACCCCCACCCAGGGATCATCCTGGAAGGGGGCATGGGGCCCTTGATCACCCCTCCATGTTTCAATTGTCTTTCAATTTTATTAAGAATGGCACTGTATGATGATTGAATAATTATATATGAAAGAGGATGATAATGATATTGTTGATGCTGATGATATTATGATGACAATGAAAATGATTGTGATAATGCTAAATCCATGTCCGTGTGTGTATATGTGAGAATGTGTGAATGTCCTGTTTATGTACATGTATATGTAATGAAAAACTTGGAAAAATAAAACCATTAAAAAAAAAAAAAAAAATGGCACTGAATTCCGGAAATTGAATGTCAATAATACAGTGTGATATATTCAAAAAAAATATCATTCAGAGACCACGATAATGCCGTTTTAGATTGACAATTCATAAAACAATTATAACATACCTTCCATTTCTCAGCACACTTCTTTGTGAATTCTGCAAACACAACCTTTTCCCCAGGGTGAGCTTTCTTGTGTTCCTCTCGGATTGTTTGTACAAAGAACGCATAAGATGACATGCGCCCTTTAGGCTTAGCCGGATCACCACCTCTTCCAACCATATTTTCTGTTATTTCTGAAAAGTAGACAAAAGAAATGCATTTTCTTGCATACATGTACAACTGCCAAAGGGTTGGACCAGGTCAAAAGTTCCTACCATTATATACATAAATCCCCTCTTTCCACTCAAACAATCCTCAATTTTCAGGCATTAATGCTCTCTTACATTCTATCCAGAAAAAAACCCTGCAAAGGCACATGTTTAGCTAATAAATTACTTTATTAATATATATATATTGACATCTCACTACTGCAAACGTGTGAATACACCTGTCCAGAGTAAGAGAAAACCTGATCTAGCTCAAGTACATGCAATAGATTTTATTTACACAAGATGATACCTTTTAGCGAAATTCTTTCAAAATAATTCTACGTAGGCATGTTTGTTACAATTGCTGTAGAAAGCAACGTAATGCTGTGATTGCTACCAGTAATTGTAAAGTATTTGATAATCACAAGATATTTTCCCCCTTATGTTGATTGTTTGAAAGGAATATCTATAGCCATAACAGGAATTCATTTCCTTCGGTATATTCTCATCTGGGTAATGCTTTCCTCAAGTGGGGCAAATTTACAAACAAATCACTTTTGGGCACATCCATCACAAACAATAATTAATTATAGTATTAGTTAATTCATCAAGCTGTTGGATAAACTAGGTTTACTTTCACTGACCTGAGCATACATTCAATATTTTCTCAAAATTTAAACAACAAATTGAAAAACCAAAAAAGATTTTTCTACAGATATTAAAAGTAAATAGTGGGTATGATACAATGGTGTTGTACAGAAGTTGCAGCATTATTTAAAATGACTTGCAAACTCATATAAAATATGACATTAAAATCATGAACATCAAACAATTGATTCATACTTGTAGATTTCATAAAAAATATGAAATTACTTACAAGTACAAAAAATTCAGTTGCAGTCAAAATAAAAGTATTCCATAAAACATTCTAAACATCACTGATTACGTTTTATATACATTGAAAAAGACACAAGCCTATACCGTGTCCTGTGTATACATATAAAGTATACTGGTATATATATAATACTGATAGACAGGTCAGTGCAAACAGTTCGTTTAATTTTTGTATTTCAATTTTATTCGTTGGCCTTTGTTGTAATGTTTCTATTTTTGGAATAAATCAAACAGGTTTCCTCACATTCGTAGAATCTGGTTTAATGAAATCGGATATTTCATGTAAAAAAGTGTCATACACTTGTTTTGTAGACCTAATGCTAGATTCTCCATCTTCCGAAATATATTCATGAGGTTCTTTGAGAATCCACCACCTCGTCTGGTGAAAAGTGTTTTTAGGTCGGCCAACGACAACAAAACTGGCTCAAACCAGTTTTACAGGACAAAGAAATATATATTTAAACATTTATCTTTTACGAGCAAATACACTGGATGTCAAGAAATCATCATCTTTTGACTTTAAATAAAATCTCATCTTTCTCTATAGGAATAACACTACAGCGTTTTCCCCATGCATTTCAATGGTAAGGAAAATTCGACATGGCCGCTTCGCCGCCGACAAACAACGACCTCAAAATTCACCTTCGCAATGTCATTTCCCGAGCTGATGAATGAAAGTACCCTTAAAAATCATCTATCTGTAATTTTATTTCGGCAAATCATTGTCATGATCCATTTCCTTGGACTTTTTACTTTAACCTGTCATACACCATACCACTCTGTACATTATATAGGAGCTCCAATGCATTTGCATTGAGTTTGGCTTGAGACTGGTATCGCTAGTATGGCTTGTGTATGGCGTACGGCCACCGTCATGACAAAGGCCGATGGATTTGAACAGCCACAAAAACCGCTAAAAACATATCGCATGACTTTGAAATTTATCAGGATGATAAAATGAGATTTTCCCTTTCAAACAAGCAACTTAGATAAGACTGTTAAATGAGTTTATGCGAGATACAGGAAAAATCCTAAACCCTACCAGGCGACTACATAGATTTACCATAGGCAGACATGGCGCTCGGCCTTACACACGCAGTTAGCAGACGCATCAAAATAAAAGTGGAATAGCATTCTTAAAACGACTGTTCATGTAAAAACAGAAATATGCAACTGTTAGATAAATATTTGTTCTCTTGCAAAAGCAACTTTTTTCGTCGGAAATAATATTTCTAATAATTGTTTAAATCGTCTACTTACCTTAAGTCTTCGTAAATACAAGGCCTCTATGCAGCACAGTGTTAAACCCACGCTACTTATCCAGCTACATAGACGATACAACGATGGGAATATTGAGAGCCGATTGGTCAATGTTAGATTAGCCGCATTGTTGAGCCAATCAGCACAGAGCAGGTGCGTGACGTCGCTGCATAATATATGCAGATAGCAGTCACGTGACTCACACAAGCGGGAACATGACACCTGAATCACAAGGCGTATTTGTAGTCAGATTTTTTCCAAACAGCTTTCTAGGAATTGTTCTCATTAGCGCAAACACATATTTTGTTCATGCTATTTTACGTTTTCAGTTTGTTCTTTCCAAGCTGTTCCGTTGAAAAGAAAGAAATTCAAAAAAATGATAATAAACACAGATTAATGTCACATTTTTGTAGTCGTCCATGGTAAAATGTTGTTGTGAATGAATATATGGGCGGAGTCTCAATATCCTTATATGGCAAAATACGTCACCACGAACTTTGACCTATTCATGCTCAAAAGAGAGGCCGCCATTTCAGTGCGTATTTTGAGACTTGTGTGTTGTATGCCTAATGGCAAGCCGAGAAACATTTTACGAGACAGGACAACGTTTCATCGTCTGAATTCGACAAAACTAATGTAAGTTGTTTTGATTTATTCGTCGAAGATCGATCAAAACATTTCTCCATGTATGGAGGAGGAGATAATAGGAGATCAGTTTGGTCTGGGGACCCTCCTGTGTTGGTTCTTCATAACACAAACTGCTGGACTTCGTTATGCCAATTCATGTTGTTTAAGATTTGGTACTGTTGACCGTAAAGGAGGCTGGCTTTTTAGGTATTTTTTGAGTTGTATGTACCCACTTTGTAAGACTCACTTGAATCTGCATACATGAGGTTGTTTTTTTTGGAAATTTGTCGTCTGCTTGAACGTTAAGACAACTGCCTTCAAATCAAAACAAACGGATCGTGGTGATGTGTTTCTGCACGGTGCTTTCTGTAGACTCGATATTTGTTCCCCAAGTACAACCACAATATTGAATAAAATAATGAAATCTAACATTGGCCTACATGTCACTTTTGTGTTATGAAGAAATGACAGGATTTTTGGATATAGATCAAGCATCCCTGAGGGATTCCGCATGTAACATAAGGAACCACTTTGCAAAAAGAACACCCCTACTGTGTTGGTTCTTCATAACACAAACTGCTAAACTTCGGTATGCCCAATTCATGTTGTAAAAAAATTAGTACTGTTGACCGTGAAGGAGGCTGGTTTTTTAGGTATTATTTTGAGTTGCATGTCCCCATGTTATTCGTTTAAAGTGAATTCAACAATAAATTTCAAAACTAATTCACTTGGATGTATTTCAATGAGATACAGAATTAATTCACTTGGATGTATTTCAATGAGATGAAAGAAAATATCGTATTAATTAAGCTCATCGGCAGAAAGTGCCTATAGATGTCAAAACTTATGCCATGGTGCACTATCATTAATTTTCCTTTGATAATGATTGGTTTTCACTTATATAGTACAATTGTACATTCAATGAGTGTTAAATCATTGCTGACTGTTGTTATTTTCCCTATTCATGATTTAATCTAAAGAGATATTAATAACTTTGTATGACCACCTCAAGTTTACAGTCATTAAAGGGCACTGGCTGATGAACTAGGTCTGTATTCACGTTTACAGATCTATAGATCTGTAAATGGAAGTAATATTGATATATATCTATTATCTGTAAGGATTAAAATGTATGTGATTTATTTTTGCTCAGTTTCACTACCGAATACTGTCTGTTTCCCCTTAGCTAAAAAGTGCCTTTTGAATTTGAAGTTCACTTTGTTTTTTTTTTACTTTCAGACAATTTATATTAGAGATGTTCTATACTTTGTTTTCTTTACTTTCAGACAATTTATATTAGAGATGTTCTAATGCGATGAGCTTAGACCCTTCTACATTATCCAGTAAACATAGCAACATAATACACAGTTATTCTGCTCTACCATCTCTGTGTAAAGTTGTCGAAGATACACTTCAGCATAAGTCGGATAGTTATTTGAATCTTGAACTGGTACGTATAACCCCCCCCCCAACCCCCCCCTCTGTTGGTATGTATGAAGTTTAATCCCTATTTGATTATGGCACCATGTGTTAACATATAACATGTAGCAGAATCTATAAATATATATTTAGGGGGAATTCTGTACTGTGTTTCAATATTTGATGCAGTTTTTCTTTTATCATACAGACGTCACATTTAGAGTTTTACCGGCACTGCAGGTAGATTCATGCTGAAATAAAACATACTTATGACAGTATCACATCAGTGTATATTATGAAAGCGCAGTCAAGTTTTCTGTATTCTAAATTCATTAACAGTACAACAACATAAAATGATGATTTTGGGTCATTATTCATGTGTGTTTTTATTTAATAAATGACATCATGATTTACCGTAGTTATGTCTGTAACAATCAGGATAAGATGGAACTAGCCTATTGTTTGTGAAGTTATTTTAATTAATTCCATAGCTTTCGATATCTAAATATGATTGATATCATTAAAGGGACATCACGCGAAAAGCCATATTTTTTTTAATGAATGTATGTATTGTATGCACTTCCACTTATGTTACCTCGCTATCCCCATATTCATAGTCCGTTCCAAATGTCCAGTTTGACCACTTGAATTGTTCGGGAAAGCCCTGCTAAAAATAGCGCCGGTCACGTCACCTGACTAGGCAGTAAACACGAGCTGTCTGGGCGAGATGAAACGGTCTCCAAAGGGGCCCCCAGAGAGGGGCGTCAGGCAACTGCAACTTCTTACCGCACTATGAAACCAAGTAATATGATTTCTAAGTCCGTATTAAAACTTATTGAACAGTAGTTATTCATCATTAGAAGTTAATTGCACACTTACCAATATTCAGAATTTAAATTTATTTAGCTTTAAACATATTTCTTGCCAATAAAATTGACCAATGGGGCACAAGTTTTTACAAAATATCACAGCCTTCTCCCGTCATACATTTACAATTAAATGTCAACAATGATAATAGGCATAAACATAAAGTATATATATATAAATATTTATTGAATTTAGTACCGGAATGTGACATCTGTACGGGGCTAAACACCTTTCTTCAACCATGGGACAAACCTTTACGTAAAAAGGAATATTCACGAGACGAATATCCGTTTTCAAATGTTTTCATAAAGTGCATATATGCAATGACAAACTACAGGCGTATAAAAAAAAAAGAGAAACGTTTGTGATTTGTTTTATTACATTGTACAACTCAATATCTTTGGCCAATGTTTTTTTCTCTATACCATGCATAAACAAATATGTATACTCTCTTTCCCACTTTCACCGTCTCCATACGCTAACACTTATTAAGTCATATAATTAGCCATCACACACACTAAACTGTATGGCAAAACCACTACGTGTACATGTAGAATATGTGTCAGATATGGGCTACTTGATAATTATATTTTTTCAATACTTTTCATAGATTAAAGCATTCTTGTCAATGTACCCTTTTTATGTTGAGCCAAGTTTTCTTTAATCATTTCATTTTTGTCCGAAACAGAAGCCGTAGTTATCGGCAGCACGCATCATTTTTACAACGTAAACAAATGTTTCTTACCCTGTTTTCAATACGAATCCGATTCTATCTGAAGTCGAAGATTAATTCTTTATAAAGAAAAGGTTGTTACATGATCATACATTCTAAGTCAACGACATATGAAAACATGAACTGTTGAAATATTACGATTTAAAAAATAAATGTTACGCGATCCTTTTTACTAGAAGTAGGTTCTCCTTCCTCAGTTATTCATCCTGGCCCGTCATTTTGACATTTTTACTCTATAGCTGCGATAATGTAGCTTTCTGACGACGAGAGATTCTTTTTTATATATTGCGTCGTTGCGCCAGAGGAAGCCGGGTATTCATATTAGTACTTATTTAAATCTTGTATGTAAAAACAAACAAAAAATCGTTTAATTCAGCAATATTATAAATTATGTAAATCTAAAAGCGCACGTATCTCATTTGACCCCGATCACGAGTACCGACAGAGACAGAATACGCCGTGGCTATCACAACAGTTAACCCTTGGAGGGCCTCATGACAAAATCAAACTAACCAGTCACTTATCCCTTCCTTTCGCATAAACCACTGTATAATTATAGAAACACAAAGTATACTCTCTCCGATACATGCCCATTGACATATTAAACTAAGTTCATCTGTGTTCAAACTCAGACAAAGATACTAGCGAGGTAAATAGTTTTAGATATTTATTCATAACATAAACAGCGCTAGCATTTCTGTCGATTCCATTTCAGCTTAACTGGCCTGGCTATCCAGAAGAATACACGCACCGTACTAACTGCTAGGGCAGTTGTTTTCTCCTTTGAACACTTCCCACCTGTAATAATGATTCCGTAACGTACTCCGTGCGCTATATTTTGACCATTTGGCAACTTTTCACTTCGTAGCTGACACGGTACAACACTTTTCTTTGGCTAACTTCACACGGTCAGTCATTTTGTTAACAAAGAAATGGTGTGCAATGCGCATGCGCTAGTAGAGGAAAATCCCTGAACAAAACGTTGGTCAGACAGGTAGAAATACTGATGATTATCTTAGATTTTATCATTTTTATGAATATATTTCAGCCAAATCCGATCGTTATTTTCCATAAGGAGTCTCACTTGATATGTTTATGTAGTATTTGAAAAAAAGACAAAAAAAATAGTTACTTCACCGTGATGCCCCTTTAACTCATTCACCCCTGAATTTATATAATTAGAGATTATCATATGACCATTTTGATATCACACCCCATATCAGCCCGAGAGTCCTGATATCAGCCTGAGAGGTGATATTAGGACTCGCGGGCTGATTGGGGGTGTGATATCAAAATTATCATATCATAAACTTTTTATCATATGTTTTTTTCCTTTAATATAAACAAAACATACACAAAAAAATATTTCTTTATTTATAATTCATAAAAGTGGTAACAAAAACAATGATGTATATAAACAAAACAGTAACAATTATACATAAAAAGTCAATATTTAGAAATTCACAAATTCCTACAAAATGATATGGTAATCAAAATTTGGGTGGGGCTTTGTAAATCAATCTTTAAATTATTTTCCATAAAACCCCAGTTATTCCATGCCAACAATTCGTTTGTTTACATTAAAAATAGACAGCATTAAGCGAAAGCGGCAAAATCCGGAAATTTGGGAGGGGTGTGATATCACTTTTCTAGGGGGTGTGATATCACTTTCAAGGGGGGGTGATATCAACTTGTGGAAATTTTTAGACTTATTAGACATACAAAAAGGGTGTTATTATTAGTAAACATATGATAATGAACTATTCCAACCTTTGAATTGGAAGAGTTCAAATGTGTCTTTAGGGGTGAATGAGTTATAACAGTCCTTGTCTGTCCTTCATATGCATACAAAGTGGATGTTATATATGGTGTAGTTATTATGCAGTTGCAAATTGTTTCAAACAACTAGCAAAGTGCAGTAATGCATAGATCTCAAATTAGGATACATGACATTTTTGTGTTTAAGTTAGTTTCTCTGACAGTACAAATGCTAGACCAACAAAACTTGGACCATAGATGCATCTTAGGTAGTACATCTCAACCCATGCATCAAATGCTGGAAGCATCCTACTTTTTATGGTCCATTGACATTGTCAGCATCTCCATCAACATTAAGGTTTTGCGTTTAAATTAATTTCTCTGGTATATGTGACTGATGAACATTGATGGTCAAAGCAGGTCATAGGCGACACGGATAATATTAATCAGAATGGCTTGTTAAATTATCAATGTAGAAAAATATCCATTAAGTAATTTCAGTCTTTCTTTGAATTTTATGTTAAACATAAATGCAACACACTTGGGGCTAGATTTTACAACAGAGCTTGAGGAAATCAACAATATTTACCTTAAAAAGAAAGGTTGGTCTGTAAAAGTTTTGGAAATTCAGCCTGTGGGCCAATGCTTAAGATATGAAATTGTAAACCCCCTGCCACTCAAATGAGAGTTGTATGATTTTAGTGGGTGGTATAATATTGTAAATAAGTGAAATATCTTGTGTTTGAATCACTGGTCGAAATAACTGAAATTGTTTCCCCAGACCAACAAGTTCAAGGAGAAAAAAAGGAGAAGAAAAACCCACTTGTGGCTTCATAGACCTAAACAAAGGAATCCAAGGTACTTTTATTGTTTTCTCTGTATAAGTACAATCGTTAGTTTGATGAATATATTCAGCATCATTTAAGACTATGCAAGATCACCTGCTTTTTTGTAAACATACTTTCTACCCAATTCGGCCAAGAGATATTATAAGGCTCATTACGGCCCAGGGAGGTAGGATAGGGAAATTTCATCGAGGGGTTTTCAAATGGTTTTGCCATATTTGAAAATCCTGAGGGTGGAATTTCCCTATCCTATACCCTTGGGCATAGAAGAGTATTTTTTCTCTCATTCCAAGTTTATTTGACGAAAACAAATCTTTCAACGAGATTAAGCATACCCCATATTTGTAAACATAGTTTGAGCAGAAAATATTCTCTTTCTAAAGTGTATAGTCGCCTTTTCCGCATTGTGGCATCAAAGTTTTCCAAATAAGTGACGTCATGTCATTGTTGAGCCGTTGTGACGTCACGTCACGTGAAATGGGGTGTCAGATAGAAATTTTCTACACCCCTTTCTTACACTGGAAAGCTCTATATTGCACACACGGATATGAGAGAAAAATGTATTCCAATTTTTAAGACATTTTGTTGAACTGATTGAAAAAATTGTTATTGGAATGTATATATATGAGATATTGTGAAAACAATTGTAGATAAAGGTGATCACTTTTATGCAGGAAACCTTATTTAAAAGATAAATTTTCATTTTGTAGACCAGAGGACATGTCCATGAATGGTTTCAGCACAGAAGAGGACAGTCGTGGGGGACATGACCAGATCTGCTGTCTATTTGACGCAGGAGAGAGGTGTACTAACCAGGCTGGCAATGCAAGCTACAGTAAACGCATTCAAAAAACTGTACAGCAGCGCAAACTAAAACTGGTTAGGGATGATAGTGTAAGTTTAGGAGGAAAAGAATTGCTAGCTTATTAAATGAACTGGAATGATACATTATTATACTCCCTGCAACTAATATGTTTTAAGTTGGCTTTGTACAATGATACATTGCTAGTTGACTTTGTGAGTCACTGTATGATGTTAGTTGACTTTGTACTGTGAGTCACTGTATGATGTTAGTTGACTTTGTACTGTGAGTCACTGTATGATGTTAGTTGACTTTGTACTGTGAGTCACTGTACACTGTTAGTTTACTTTGTACTATGAGTCACTGTATGATGTTAGTTGACTTTGTACTGTGAGTCACTGTATGATATTAGTTGACTTTGTACTGTGAGTCACTGTATGATGTTAGTCGACTTTGTACTGTGAGTCACTGTATGATGTTAGTTGACTTTGTACTGTGAGTTTCGTATGATGTTAGTTGACTTTGTACTTGAGTCCCAGCTGTATGTTAGTTGACTCTGTACTGTGAGTCCCTGTATGTTAGTCGACTTTGTACTATGAGTCACTACACTGTTAGTTGACTTTGTACTGCGAGTCACTGTATGATGTTAGTTGACTTTGTACTGTGAGTCGCTGTGTGATGTTAGTTGACTTTGTACTGTGAGTCACTGTATGATGTTAGTCGACTTTGTACTGTGAGTCACTGTATGGTGTTAGTTGACATTGTACTGTGAGTTTCGTATGATGTTAGTTGACTTTGTACTGTGAGTCCCAGCTGTATGTTAATTGACTTTGTACTGTGAGTCCCAGCTGTATGTTAGATGACTTTGTACTGTGAGTCCTTGTTTGTTAGTCGACTTTGTACTATGAGTCACTGTACACTGTTAGTTTACTTTGTACTGTGAGTCACTGTACACTGTTAGTTGACTTTGTACTGTGAGTCACTATTATGTTAGTTGACTTTGTACTGCGAGTCACTATTATGTTAGTTGACTTTGTACTGCGAGTCACTGTATGATGTTAGTTGACTTTGTACTGTGAGTCACTGTACACTGTTAGTTGACTTTGTACTGTGAGTCACTATTATGTTAGTTGACTTTGTACTGCGAGTCACTATTATGTTGGTTGACTTTGTACTGCGAGTCACTGTATGATGTTAGTTGACTTTGTACTGAGAGTCACTGTATGATGTTAGTTGACTTTGTACTGTGAGTCACTGCATGATGTTAGTTGACTTTGTCCAATGAGTCACTGTACACTGTTAGTTTACTTTGTACTGTGAGTCACTGTATGATGTTGGTTGACTTTGTACAGCGAGTCACTGTACACTGTTAGTTGACTTCGTACTGTGGGCCACTGTATGGTGTTAGTTGACTTTGTATAGTGAATCACTGTATGATGTTAGTTGCTTTTGTACTGCGAGTCACTGTATGATGTTAGTTGACTTTGTACTTTGAGTCACTGTATGATGTTTGTCAATTTCTGACACGATTCGCTGTATGATGTCAAAGGATTGAACTGCTAGCTATTTTATGATGTAGATCGAGTTTGTACTCAGAGTCGATGAATAAGCCTGATGAATAGTTATGTTGTATCACCAGGTGGCCCACATTTATATCTGTGACTACCATAAGAATGTGATACAGAGTGTGAGGGCAAAGAGGAAGAGAAAGGACAGTGAAGATGGTAATGGCTCGCCCAACGTTGAGGAGGATCTACCAGAGGTAAGTATCAAAACATTTAATAAGTTTGTATATATATATCATCTACATCGACCACTTAGTAAGCTTTGATTTATCCTGTATTCTGATATGTGAATCAGTTACACAGGTCTGATGATATCTTATAGAGTTATTTCTAATGTATTTGAGACACGTATATAAAATTCAATACATGCATATCACTTTAAACACCCTGGTAAAATACTAGCCGCTTCCTACCGACTCGGCTAGAGAGAATTTCTCTTTAGCTCTTTCAGTAGAGTATAAGACTAGTAAGCCAGAGGTCCTGGGTTCGACTCCTTGTGAAGGCATTGAAAATATATACAAACCTCAAACATTGACTCAGTTATTATGATAGTGCCCTGTCCTACCAACAACCAGTAACTTTTCACAAAACCATGAGGCCTAAATTCATGATGAGAAGAAAGAACTGCTATATTCAATGGAAGATCAATCTTCTTGATTCTTGTCAAAGGAATAATAGTGTACAGTTTGGTATTTAGCCTGTTGTTTTCCTCGAAGATGAGTTGGTATATTTTTTCCAAACAAATCACCTCGGCCAAATTTTGATGTCACGACAATCTGTAAAAGTGTTAATAATTATAAAGGGCCAACGACTTCTTCTGAAACACCAGCATACTTGAAGTAGGGATAATGTACGGTGGCCTCGAGTGTTAAGGTTGAATAACTGTCAAATTTGTTGAAATCAAAATGGTCATCTGTCTACATGTATCTACTGCTTGTCCTGCCACCTTGAAAGGGTAATGCCATTTAAATTCTTAACCCTTTCACCACCGTAGATCATAATGGACTTATCCCCATAAATGCAGGGTAGAGTCTACTAAAGTTACCTAGGGGTGAAAGGGTTAATGATATATATGTATGATGAGATAGATGACCAATGCTGGTCCAATGCCTTCCGCTCCTGATGAGTTTATTAGGTTCTTTTCTGCTACACTAGCTGTTCAACTGACTTTGTTATATTTATTAATTGACACTGCTATTAAATGTAAATAGTCACTCTAAGGAAGGAGATCCAAACAAACTATTTAAAAACAAAAGAATGTAATTAAAGGAAAACGTATAATTCGTAACTTTCATCAAAAAATATGGTGTATTCTAATCTATGAATGTTGGTTAGAATTTCGTAATGTTATGATGTTTGGATGTGCGCACATAGCCATCATAAGAACAACGAATAAAACATGTGTTCCCCTCTAAACTGTTTATTTTCATAACTGCAGAATCTGGGGTCTCCAATACGGGGACTGGATGTCTTAAAAGGGAGACAACTCGTGGTTACATATAGTGCAAGGTATCAGATTACCATTGTTAATTACATTTAATACACATAAAATTCCATTTGTTCCAGATTGACTTTTTCCAAATGCCTGTGAACACACTGAGGCGATACAAGCGCCATTACAAGCTGATGACAAGACCTGGCATGAACAACAAGGCACAGCTGGCAGATGTAAGGGACACACAGTATTTCTATCATTTATTTGCCCCGAGATATAATTTCTCTCTTTTATTTGTTAATTTGCGTCCATCCCCAAGGTGTTTTCAGGCAAAACATGAAATACGTACCATTATGTCAGAACCTGGTCCACTTGTCTTTAAATAATGTAGCAAAACTGCAGTTGTAATGTTTTTGAAGGTAACATTGATGTGAAAATTCGGTAACTATTGACACAATGAGTTATATTACGGTAGTAGTGTTGAGGATAAATTTTCATAGAAAGAAACGAAAAAAGTTGTGGGGGATTGCAAAAATTATCAGCATTAAGGGAAATGGCAACAACTGATTCACCTGTTAGTATAATGAGACCGGGCGAATTGCTGCGCTTGGCATCAGATCTGCACTATCACAAGGAGGCAAGTACACCAACATACCCTGTCTCCGGCATACATACGCACTTGCAGGCATACACAACACACATGGAGGCACTTAAATGACCTAAGCTGTTAATAGGACATTAAATAAAATTAAACCAAACCAAAAATTATTGGTATATTACTGTATGAAATCAATCGGTGTTCAAACTTAACAGTAGGTCCATAGGCAATCAACATGAAAAAACTTAAGTCAAAGGGAATTACTTTATAGACGAATTTGACCATGATTCAATGACAAGAATGTTTGTGAGGGGAAATTGTCTGTAAGGGGCAGCGGTGACCAAGTGGTTAAGGCATCTGACATTCTGCTACAGCAAGCCATCCACCAATTGGTCACGAGTTCGAGACCTATGTGGGGCAGTCGACAGGGACATTTATAAGACATAAATCACAAACAAAATGATCTGTAAGACTGTTTTCTTCCTCTATAATTACACAAACCAGTTCTTAATTTCTCATGATCAAGCACTAGAACGAATCAATATGACATAAACCTATTGCCTTTGGTGATTTAATTCAAAATTCTAAGACTGAATCAACATTTACATCTGCTAAATATAGTTTCTCATTTATGAGAGGAAAGCATGATATTACTGGTAAGTGACATTTATAAACAGAAAATAATTTGTCAGCAGTCAGAACCCCGGAAGTGACCCTAAATGTAATTACCAACTATGAGGCAACTTATAAAATGTCTTGTGCTAACACTTAATAAGTTAGTAAGTCCCTACCACATTAGTGAAGTGAAGTGGGGTTTAATATTTGCCGTTTCCGTTTGGTCATCAATCCATCCGTCTGGTCGGCTTCTTGGTTAGACCTTTGCATTCAGCTCCACTTCTCTGATATAATGCATATCACTTAGTCATGAAAATGCAGATTCATCTTCAGGAGTACCACAACATCATGTGACATGTAGGTCACTGTGACCTATATCTTGTTTCACTGACTTTCATTACTCTTTGTGTTTTGCTCCATTTTCATTTAAGCAACAAAATCAACCATTGTATGTTTTTCAGATTATTTGTTTAATATGGCACATTGACATGTATCTTGTTTTCTTTTCAGACCGTAGCTCGACACTTCAAGACTATAACGGTGAATGAGAAGGAAGCACTGACCTACTTCATTTATATGGCCAAGAACTATAAGAGCCGATTTGACCAGAAACATTTGGATAATGTGAATAGCACATAGAATGGGAGGATTTGAGAATGTGTGCGATTGTTAAAGATGATAACCAATTTAAATGAATCCATTTGTTGTTGTTTTTTAAAAATGAAATAAGAAAAAAAAGCAAATTTATTTATAGCATTAAAATTTGATTTTGATATACATGGAATTAAATATTATTGCTGGTAAATGTGTTTTTTTTTATTTAATATTACTATTAAAGTAAGCGAATGTCTAATTTATGATGGACAAATTTTGTTCATAGAAAATAAGTCAGATGTCTGTCTATGTCTATTTATACCGATGCACTGGATGAACTGTCAAAGGGGATCAAAAGTTTCTATTTTCAACCTTATAAGTAATTTTTCATCTCTTTTGTTTATTGATTTATGTACATTGTCATTGAATTGATATGTAAAACATACTATTGAAGACACCACTAGGTATTGTAGAGATGGAATTTATCATTTTCTGGGTTATTATAAATTCCCTATAAAATCAACATGTAAATTTGCACTAAAAAAAATGACATTGAAATATATGCAACTTATTCACCCCTGAAATTTCTTCATGAACTATTCCAACCTTTCAACTGGAAGAGTTCAAATGTGTCTTCAGGGTTGAACAAATTAAAAAAGCATTACAAATGCTGAATATTTCAAATAGTTTTCAATGCCAATATCTAAACTTGTCAATTTTCGATTAATTTTTTACTACTTTCGGGTAGATTCAGTGTCAGTCACTGCATTGAAAAAGGATTCATTTATACGTGTGCGAGTAATGAATGAGTAAGAATGTTTGGGAGTTTTGTAGATGTAAGAAATCAGTGCTATTGTGTACCAATAAATTGCAGTTTTTAAAATTGCATTTACTGTATGATCAAGTAGGCCTTGCACAGTAGTTTTCAGCAATGAAGGACACTTCTCTGTAGCCGTTTCAAGCATCAGGTTTTATTTCCTTGTTGATATATATAGATTTTTCCGATATTAGCTATAGGGCATTGGATATTGGCCAAATTACTAGATCAAAATATAAGTGAAATAATACCAGAATCAGTCTTGCCCAATAACTGTCTAATTAAATTGTTTCCCCAAAATTTGAAGAAAAAAAATCTGAATCATCTAGCGATGGATTTTCAGTTGAAGCAGAACTGCTAATCTAACTTGTCATTTTGATATTTAGAAAGTGCTATTATACAGATTGAAAACCATCAAGATAGGTTACAGTATTCTTTGAAATTTAAAAGCAGAATTTTTATTTGGCAGATATGTTATTGTTCTTGTAATATCTTTGCAAGATATATATAAACAAAAGAATCAAATATGGTTGAAAAATACAGTTATGGAGATAGTTATTTGAAATGTCTTTAGGTGTTTTCAATTAACAAAAGTGTATTTTTGGCACACATAATCCATAAATGTCTAAGAATATGATGGACTGTAGCATTGGAATTAAAATTTCATTTCCGAGTGTGGTTTGAGCATTTAACAATTGGTCTTGCATTTTCATTATGTACTTGTACATTTATATTCACAGCAGCAGGACCTTAAGTAACTAAATCCTATTTTATGGAAAGAACATGTACATGTGCTTGTATTAATTAAACAATTAATTAATTAATTAGAAAATCAGAGCAACAGGGTTTCTGAGGATAAAAGGTGGTAAGGAGTGCCGAATCAGCGGTACAAATGTATGAAACAAAAGTAAATCTTTCAAGTACATTTTGAGGAATGGATATCATGAAATAACAGTATTAGTTCACACACCCCACCCCCATCCTACAAAAAGGACACAGAAGTCATATTTAGTGGATTCTCTATGGTGAAAATACATATTTTGTCAAAGTTGTGCAGATGTATAGACAAGATATTTCAAAGTAACCATGAAATAGTCGTAATTTTCACAAAGATGCAGAGGAAATCAAGAGATTGGTGTGTAAGTGTTATTTAACACAACAACCATGAATCTCAATGTTATTTCATCCAAGAGAAGGCAATACTGGCCAATACAATGTATACATACCAATTGTTATGATATGAAAACATTAAAATGTTTGAAACGTAAATCAGTCATTGTTCCTTATATTTGTACGATTATTTCTATTTCAGCCGATATGATAACCTTCAGATAACAGAGAAGAGACATTCTGTCCCATTGTTACCCTTCCCTTTGCTAGTTACAATTGAACATCACATTAAAAATATTCCAGGTGGTGAAAGATCAGGGTTGAAATCCAGTAATAATCAGCTTTGGGATCGAACATGGTAATATGATGCCTTACTATCTTGGACGTTGAAACACGCTGTGCATGGATATAATTTCATTTTACACAGTTGACAATTTATCAATGTTCTTGTCAAAGGTCATATATATAATGTACAATTTGATAATCTAGTGGAACTGAACTGGGTCGAAGGCTGGTGACCAGGTAGCTCAGTTTGTTATTATCTAGTGGAACTGAACTGGGTCGAAGGTTGGTGACCAGGTAGCTCAGTTTGTTATTATCTAGTGGAATTGAACTGGGTCGAAGGCTGGTGACCAGGTAGCTCAGTTTGTTATTATCTAGTGGAACTGAACTGGGTCGAAGGCTGGTGACCAGGTAGCTCAGTTTGTTAGTGTTTGTCGAGAATTTGAGTATCTTGTGTTTGAACGCTGGTCTGGCCGTGCTTTTCTCCTTTTTCTGTTACAGAGGTGCCGGTGACCAATCTTTTTTCTCTCCAAATATTAGGGCTTGACAAGGAGATACCTGAACCTGGGTTGTAAATAGTGCTGTTGGGCCATGAGGGACCAGATTTTATCTGGTAGTTTAACGGGTAGAGCATCCATCTTAAGAGTTCGAAGGTCCTGGTTTGAACCGGGTCAAATACATTGTTAAAGGAGGGAAGTAGATGTAGCGAAAATGGACTGGGTTCATAGCGAAGTGACCAGGTAACTCGATAGGTAGAGCATCCATCTAAGAGTTCAGAGGGTCATCTGAGCTTATGCTGTACTGTGGCGTCCATTGGTCATCTTTTTCTTTTGGACGAATTTTCTGAAGAACTGGAAGACCTAGGGTCATGATATTTGGCCAGTAGGTACCTAAGATGGAGTGCTATAAAGTTTTTTTAATTTAAAATGACCTTGACCTACTTTCAAGGTCACGGGTCAAATATGTTTAAAATTTAAAAAATACTACCTGAAGAACCATTTGGATTAATCATGATGTTTGGGTTTGTTATGTAGACCAGCAGTGCGAATTTTTTTCTAAATTACAGTAATGAGGTCAAAAGTAAACTTTAAGTGCTAGTTGGGGGTCACAGGTCAACATGGGTTAAAAGCTTTAACAATATTCTTCTCCAGTTCCATAAGGCCCGGGGTCATATTTGGCCAGTAGGTACCTGGGATGGAGTGCTATAAAGTTTCCTCATTAAAATGACTGAACTTGTTTCAAGGTGACAGGATTCAAATACATGTATGTTAAAAACTTAAAACAACAATATCCTAAGAACCATTTGGACTAGTCATAAAACTTGGGTATATTATGTAGACCAGCTGTGTAAATATTTTTTTTTATTTTTTTACAGTTATGAGGTCAAAGGTCAACTTCAAGTGCTAGCCAGAGTCGAAGTTCAATATGGGTTTAATTTTTTAAAATTCAAATTTCAAATGTCAAACAATATCTTAAGAACCGTTTAAGAGGCGTTAAAATGTCTTGTGTTCTGGTTACCAAATTTGGTCTGAAGCTATCTTTGTCAGTTAAATGTAAAAAAACAAAACCAGGTGAGCAATACAGGCACTCTTGTTCCTATCCTGTTACAGTACATACCTAAAACAGATCACCATAAACATTGCTGCCAATGCCCTATTTATAGTTGGCTTCAGGAACTGACATTATCTTACCATAGTTTTATAAACTAAGAAAAGGCCCATATTTAAAAGTTTCCTAAACATTTTTTAACTGGAGCCCCAATTTATCTTGAAAAAGTTAGAAATTGGCCTGTTGTGATTATCTTCGAGTATCATACGAATTTAAATGCCATCATTAATAAAATACAATGAATACGTGCCAGAACAATTTTGCTCTGAAGGTAATAGGATTGTGTCACCATTTCTCAGTAGAATTTCTTCAAATTTTGTAGTTATATTGCTTTGAAGTAAAGAAAATTTTCTGCCACAAACAAAATATAGGTTGTCAGAATCTTAAATGTAAATTTATGTAAAAAGGAGTGAATTTTGAAAAATAAATGAGAGAAACAATTTTTGGCAAAATAATATCAATAAAAATGATACGGACATAGATTAGTATTGCATTAATGTATATCAATTTAATAAATGCTGAAATTTTGTAAAATTAATTATCTATAAACGATTAAAAATTGACATTTTATTATAAAACCATGTACACATAGTAATTGCATGTTAAGAGTTATCTTTCTTGAAAAACTTCACAGTAGTGAAATAGGTATCCGGTTTCCTGAAGTACAGAAAAATGGACACATTTGACTCATTGATAAAAAACAACTGAATTAATGCCTGGATTGCTTTGAAATACTTTAATATTGAGAGGACACACTGTTCTGTCAATAATAAACATACAATATTCATCAGTTTAATATTAAACATTAGAATATGCGGAAATTGTGATATTGTCTGTCTCCCTACATTGGATTTTCAACTAGGGATGTACTTCCTATTTCCGTTTATCAATACACTCCTATGACCTTAATATGAACCCGTAAAAAAGAAGTCCATTCAAATACAGTAACAAAATGGTAATGTATAGTTAATGTTCCTTTTTAATAATTTAACCAGAAGAGACACAGGATACATTAACTGGTCCTGTATCCATGCAGAGAAATGCTACGGACCAATGGAGTATGGAATTGCAATGAGAATGCCTCGTGTACTATTATTTTTTTAAGCTATTCAGAAGTTCATGCATTGTCTTGTTGTGATTAATTGAATCTTTCCCTACCTTGAGGGTGTGACAGAGAAATCTCCCATCCGAGGGATGATGAGGCCCTGTCGAGGAATAGACAACCAAAAAAATCACCCGGAGGTTGGAGATTTCTCTGTTACTGCCTCAAGGTAGGGGATGATTATTTTTCTCCCATCCTTTTATTTCAGTCGCAACTCCATCGACAGTAGTCTGCCATGTTTGTAAACAAAAACACATGTGGGGTATGCATATCGTCATTCACTTTTGATGACGTCTCAATTAATTGTGACACATTTTAATGACGTCACAATTGTACACATGCTAATCGGCACGAGGCAACTCCCCCTGGGAAGGTGACAAGCTGATCTTTCCCGGCTAAAACGGGAGACACACCTGTGAAGGGTGGGAGAAACATCCATCTATGAAGTTTTGTAAATATGTATCACACCTTTTTCAAGCCCTGCAGCCAAGTATTACATTTACAATACCTTTTTACCTTCACCTTGGGAATGCAGACACATCAATTATTCATGACACATCCATTTGTGATTCATCCATCTATGAATTTTCAGAAAAAAAGCTGCTCCAAAAAAAGACAGATTTGCTATCCTCGGCTTTTATTGGTAGGGAACTTGGAATGGAGCTTACCATTACAGACGTATTTCAAAGTTTACAGATGTGCTTCACAGTTTACAGATGTGTTTCACAGTTTACAGATGTGTTTCACAGTTTACAGATGACAGCAAATCTCATCAATGGAGAAATGTCTTTTATTACATGGTTATGATGATGAGTGACAATAAATAACATTATACTGAAAGTGCGGAGAGTTTTTCGTTCAGAGCCAGCTGTGTTCTGGTTAGGTTAGCAAGGTACACCACCATCAACAGATCCTGTGGACAACAAGAAAGTTGATATTTAGTTCACAAAGATAAGTCATACTTTTAAATCGTGTTTTCACCAGTAATAGGAATTGTTCACAAAAAAGTGAAGGTCAATTAACTCATTCACCCCCGAAATTTCATAATGACCTATTCCTACCTTGGAATTGGAGGAGTTCAAATGTGTCTTCAGGGGTGAGTAAATTAATGAATTCCAACATGATCAAGATCTCTGAACAACAAATTCAGCAATTCAAGTACTTGCAATTTAAACTTCAACACAAAACTAAGGGTGTAAAATCAAAGCGTATTTACAGTTTCAAATCTGATCTATATTGATTGTTAACAACAATTACTTACTTTCATATTTGAATTCAACATCGATTCAAACTCCTCTGGAGCAATCTGGGGAACATTTGTTGTCAGTTCCAATAAATGTCTGCCTATTCTGTTGTCGGCTGGGATTTTGTTGGCCTGTAGCAAATAATCAAATTAATATTAGGCTTTCATGGTTTTATTTTCTTTAGTTGTTAGTTACAGATTTTTTTGGAGAGAGAAAAAAAAGACATCTGCAAAATACTTGCATGTATATTATTGAACAGGGTTCAAAATATATCCTGTCCAATAGCTTGAAGCAAGTCAATTTGGTTACCATGCAAGTGAAATTTTCATCATTCACCCAAGGCACAAGTTGAAAATTTAACAGAATGAAGGATATTTTATTTATCCAAACCTTATACATACGATCAAAACCCCTATTTCCCCCTTAAGTGCCTAGCAAACTCTTCATTTGTACAATATTTATCTTCACTAAACAAGCATTATTCTGCTACAAATTATGGAGAGATTATTTAATGGAATTAAGAGCTCACCAAAACATCCTCTACATATGCCATCACCATAGATAGTTTGTCCTGGAGGGAGATACAAGCATTTTCCACCTGCTGAAGATCGGTCACCATGGCAACACTACGTTTGGGGTTCAACTTCCCCTGCTGAATCAAATCCACTGGAATGAAAACAAGTAAGAAACAAGTCGTTAAATTGTCTGTATGTTTTAATTGACTGTATGTTTTAATTGTCTGTATGTTTTAATTGTCTGTATGTTTTAATTGTCTGTACGTTTTAATTGTCTACGTTTTAATTGTCTACGTTTTAATTGTCTGTATGTTTAAATTGTCTGTATGTTTTAATTGTCTGTACGTTTTAATTGTCTGTATGTTTTAATTGTCTGTATGTTTTAATTGTCTGTACGTTTTAATTGTCTGTACGTTTTAATTGTCTGTATGTTTTAATTGGACTATCATTGCTGGACTGAATGTTCAGTTAGTGTTGAAATCAATAATGAAACATTTCAATCTTTAAAATCCCTAATCACCATTCAGAAAACCCGAGATGTCTTAATCCCTCTTGCTTAACTGTATGGTTTAAACAAGAGGCTCATTGGGCATGTATTGCTCAATCATTTCCTTTTTTATATGTTCATTACATATGTCCTAATATCTATTGCAAGGTTTACATGGTTTGTTAGTCGACTTCCTGTTTCCTCGTGTATACTTGGCCTGTTAGTTGACCCCCCGTTTTCTGGTTTATATTGATCAGATTGGGTTATTTTCCTTACCTCCAACTCTCTCTGGGGTGTAGGTGATGGTCTCCACTTGAACAGCGGTGAACATACAGCCCATTGTTTTGTTGGGCACGCCAATGGGTGTACTGTACATAGGGAGCAAACAGTAAAATCAGCACAAGATAAAACAATAGACAAATTCTGGCATCAGATATGGACAAAAAGCCATATGTCTGCATAAAGGGATACACCTGACCTGATTTCAGTGTGTGACATTCGGCAAACCCATTAGGCACTAGCATACAAAATTAAGTAATTATAGTTGACAGACATATAGAGATATGCCCTAGAAGAACAAAGGGGCATAAATCTGTAATATAGTGCGACAAGAGATCTGATCTCAGCATGCATTATCCCTTTATCCCATAGTGCTTGAATATATAAATATATAATTTTCTATGATATGCTTCAGGCGAAGAGATGCTTGGTAAACAAAGGGACATAACTCTGCATACAAGTCACCACTAATTTTATGTTTTCCAGTCAATGTTTAGTGGACATACTTTCTTATCTTAAATCAAAAGTGTCCCACTAATTCATTTCCCCATCTTACCAGTTGAGCTAGGTATGAAGGGGAATATAAACGAGATTCCATTACCAACACTACTGTTTTTCGTACCTGATGTAAGCCTTGACGTCCATCTTGCTGCCTTTGAGTGTTGTATCCACAGTGAGATGCACAGGACTCTTGGCCTCGCGGGCATAGTATTCGTGGATTAGCACAGAGTGCTCCGACACCTCGGATCCTGTAGAATACCTGTAACAATAATCAGTATACACATAACCAAAACAAAGGTTTTATTTGATCCGACATCAAATCAAATTATGGCTTTGCTTTGATAAATTACCGAGCAAAAGTACTTATTCATTCTTTCAGGGTATATTTATAATGTCTTAATGAAACATATTGGATCATCCATCAAATTTGGCTTGTAAATATGAACAAAACGTCTTATTCACCAACATATTTGTGTTTAGTCTCAAGGTTATGGAGAAGAATCTGTACAGGTTTTGCCACATATAACCTCCGAGTCCTTGAAAATAAGTGAACATCATTTCCTAGAATAGCTTTGATAGCTTTTTTCACCTTGTGACATAGAATATTGATTGACAAGACAATTAAATTTAACAAATATCCTAAATTTCTGTAGAAGAAATCATTAAAATGAAAAAGTGATAATGTATAATGGACACGACGTAAGCTCACAAGCGCTTCGATTCATTCCAGACGAACTAATAACATACCATCCAACGATGACTTCAGCTGCATTGACTTTCTTGTGCAGTTCATACATGTTCCTGGCATATTCCAAATCAGCCGCAACCTAAAGTAGAACCAAATTCAAATAATTCATCACCAAACCATAAATCTAATCATAATTTCTAAATTAAATCATAAATCTGAAGTTGCTTTCATTTTTTTTTAAAAAAAATATATATATTTTTTTTTTTATTGTAAGTAGAATGATAGAAATAGCTTGTTAATTATTATTTCATATTTAAATATTTCCATTTTTACATTTGCCGCAAATGTAATTGGTTATAATCGCTCTTAAAATGAAAATTACAGTATTAAACTGAATGTTTGTTTTAATTCAGATATATTGATATTGCACCAACCTCGTCTTCAGACTCATTATGAGGCACAGCGAAGCAGTTGGTAACCTCTACAGCACCTTTGTCATATACTCCTGTTAAGGAAATTTTAAATGACATATTACACATACTTAACAAATACTCATTGGAGTACTTCAAATTAGTGATAGGCTGAATACCGATTATAATCGAAATTAATCGGTTTGCCCTTTCCAATTCCGATAATCGGTTACAAATTCCATAATCAATATTATCGGTTCATCATTGAAATCAAGGTGTTTAAATGTCTTCCGTGTAAAGTATGCTTTGAAAGTCATATATATATATATATGACTGTTAAAAATGCATAAAAGTTGCTTGATATCCATTCATTATAAAAGAAAGAAAGCTTATGTATAGTGAACAACTCTGTTGTCTATTGATGTAATAGTTAGTGGTCTTACTTTATTTGGGTATTCAAATTCAGTCCCATAAGCCGATTTAATATGCAATCGATCATCGATCGGTTTACTACTTCACATTACAAACCGATTATATTATCGATCATAATTTTAAAACGATTGCCCATCATGATCACTACTTCAAATGTATTTACACATTCCTGTGCCCCGACATTGTCTGGTCAAGAAGTATTTGTCTAATATACACACCTGTTATTCAACCTAATATATATGTCCCCCCCCCCCCCACATACACACACACACAAAAACAGCAGGTATTTGGTGGGGACCAGTCAGCTTGAATATTTCTTGGAAATACTTTGAAAAAACACATAGGTAAATTTAAATTTTCTTCCTAAATTACATTATCTATGTCAACATAACACAAAGGTTTGATACCAAAGTTATATATTATTAGACTATATATATATATATAATACACAATGTACATGCAAACATAAATGACACCTGATTTTAGGTCAAGCACATGCACCAGTTATAACTTTCAACTTTGACAGCATCCCAGGAGTTTAGGAAAACAGAGTTCTATTCCCTCACTCTTTATATCTATCAAACACATACATATATTGTATAGGGTGGGGATCTCAATCGTTTCAAAGTTATGGCTCTGGAATTAAGTCCTTAGGGGTGGGGCAAGACCCCAGAGTCAATTCTTATATCACGATTGTATATGTATCTTGATGCTCAGCAATTGTATATAGTAATAGGGTGGAGGGCTTGGTAAGTAAAAAATCTTTTTGGCCCCATCCTCAGAACTCCTGGGGGTAAGCTCTTCCATTTGTACATTTCTTAATCCTCACCCCCTGAAAATGCTCCGAATGAAATATGGTTGATATTCATCCCTTAGTTCCAGAGAAGAAGTTGTTTAAAGCAATATGACCAAATTACCCCTTTTTGGCCCCGTCTCACAGCCCCTTCATTTGTACAATACGAATCCCCACCAATAAGATGTGCTTCCACTCAAATTTAGTCATATTCCAATCGGTTGTTCAGAAGAAGTAGTTTGAAGAAATTGTTGACGGACGTACACCACAGTATGGCATAAGCTCACCTTGGTCCTCCTGACCAGGTGAGCTAAATATGTTCGTTATTCAGCATACAATGTAATTTATCATTTAACTACCTTGTTCTAACTTTGGCATGCATGAGTTGTCTATCACCCACTCCATACCAGTAATTGCAGCAATCTAGTGTTAATGCTGACATTTATGGTATTTTGGATATATCATTGCAGTCATTTTTATTCTAGTGTAACATCTTGTCAAGATGAGTAGCAAATGTATTTCTAGCCTGAGAAATTGTTTTGAATATTCAAAGAATGCAGTTCTAGGGAAAAGGTGAAATAAGCAACCTTACTACTGTGGAAGATTTTGATTGTACATATAATTATGGTCGCCTTCTAGCTTTGAGCTAGGGGGAATTTCCCTTTAGCTCAGTGGTATACTAGTAAGTATGGGATCGCAGATTTGATACCCGGTGGAAGCACACTATACTCTCTGTTACAAATGGTGTCAGTGGCCCTCCCTATCGTGACAGGGGGTTAGAATTAACCTGGGTTGTGTTATTTGAGGGCGAACACATTTTAAAAGTGGAGAAGTGTGGCAGAATTGTACATAGGATAATGGTCGCCTTCTAGTTTTGAGCTAGAGGGAATTTCCCTTTAGCTCAGTATCAGTGTTAGAGCGTCCGACTAGGAAGTATGAGATAGCGGGTTAGATCATCGGTAGAAGCACACTACTCTCTTTCTGTAACACTACGTTATCGCAGATTATTATTTACAAGTATGTGTCAAACACATTTTTGTTTATGGTTTACGTTTAGAGAAGCCATATTCCATACTGATTTTTTTAATTTTTAGATATGCAATAAATCGAACTAGTTCAACAACTAATAATATTTACTTGGCGTGACAGCCCATCCATGTTTATTTGACTGACATCGGAATAAGAAATTATTCTTTGAAATACAATACACAACTTGACAGTACACAGAATGTAAACAGCTGTCAAACTTTAGTTGTCCGTTATAAATAAAAATACGAAAACGTATGAACACACAATAGTATATAACGTAAGAATATACCTAGTAGTGTACCGATGACCCTTTTTGCGTCTTCATTTCGCCTTTCGTATGAGTCAATAATGCTAAATAACACCACAGGGTGTACCCGGCACACGAGGTTCGCCGCCATTTTCGAAACAAAGGACAGAATGGAATGTAATTGGCCAAAATTTGTCAATATAAATAATAATTTCCTCGAAGAAATATAATATTAATACAGCAATAAATTAATACTCATTTTTTTGTTGGAAAACGTGTAAATTTTAGTAATAATAACTTTATATAATTATTTCTTCCAATGAAATCACTGCATTGTCGATCCAAAAAGAAGGGTATGATGGCTATCTAAACTTCCGGTTTTATTTTGTTATTCAAGGCTGTTCAACATTTTCAATTACTATCATGTGGAAAATGACTTTCTAGCCACAAAACCCTGTTATTTTTCAAATAATTTGATTGCAGTGTTTCAGTGAATGGGTAAGTGAATGTCATGAGCCAAGTATGGAAGTTGTAACTTTGGTTCTTGTTAAAGTTTTACGGATGGATTCAGAGGCAAATTATTTGCACGTTGTGTATTTTCGGAAATGTATGTCTCTCTGGAATGTGGTATGGAATTCATCTATTTAAAAGAAAAAATAGGCAAAACCCTTGTGTGCACTATGTCTTATTATTATATTTTAATTAATTAATGTGTTGCTTACAGATGTACCAAAATATTTTTAATCTGCAACACTAATATCTGCAGTAGTTAGTTATGTACATAATATTTTGGTATTAAATCAATATCATGCTCTTAATATATATATGCAGTTTATAAAACTTTACTCTGATGACAATTTTAAAACAACGTTTCTGTTTTTGAAAATATGGCTCCATGGATAAAATATTTCAGTGTATAATATTTTTTTGTTAAAACACAAGTAAAGAAAACTGGTAAAATATCATAATCTCATCTGGTTTCAAAGCTATTCAAATCGAAATTTGTGTATGTACTAATTATGAGCAATTCACCTGATCTAAGCCTAATTTCAGAAAAAAGATCCAACTTCCCTTTTACATTGTTTTTTTCCCCTTTTGAAATAGAACTTCCCTTATCCCTTTCTTCATCACCACACACTAATTTCTCTGGACTTCAGTGTGTGTCAAATATACATATGAGTTTCCTCGAGGATATTTAATATGAATAAACAAAAAATTATTTACCTTAGTAATTTAAAAAGTGTTTTCAATTGTTTTTTCCACCTTAAAATAATCACACCCTTAGCTACAGCCTGTGACTCAGCAAGACATCATTCTAAATGTTTGAAAGTATCTATTATTTAAAGTATTGTCGTTTCAGAAACATAAGTTGTGCAGCGAATGTCTTCAGACGAGGGAGTACCATGGGGACTCCCAGTATCCAAGCCTGGCACCAAGCTGGAGCGATGTCTGCTAGGCAGACGAGAAATGCTCTTACCAGAGGCAATGATAGAACAGGTTTATATATTTTTTCAATTAGAAAATCTCACTAAAAATAATCACTGATCTCACTATTTTGCACCGGAAAGTTATGGCATGTATGCTCGAGTAACTGAATTTCTAATAGCATTGAAAGAAACTGTTATCCCCTTGCAGTGACTTACAGGAATATAGACTGTTCCCATAGCTAAAAAAGTGCCTTATTTTCCCAAAATGACAAAAAAGTGAAGAATATATTTCCGATTTCAATACAAATAATGCTATATTTTCTCAATTCATGATGGAACAGGCTGTTGTAAAACTTGGGTAAAGAAAAAAAACACTGCCTTGCCAATCTATATAATGAGGCTAATTGCCTATCAGGCTTTGAGACATATTTCAAGGGTGTAGATCTGGATGACATTTCAATAATTCAAGTGTATGTCTTTAGTATTCATATAAGGTAAATGTGGATTGAATCATTAAAATTAATTGCTTAACAGATCAAGCACATTTTTATTTGCATTCTTCCTTTGCCTTTATTCAAAAGATTATCTATAGATACAGTATAAGGATAATATTTTAATGTTTGTACTAAATTCAACTATATGTGGTTTTGCATATTGACTTTGACTTCTTCTAGGTGTGAGTCCAAACACACATATACTGGTATATATGAAGTCATCATTTAAGATGTCATATTTGGAGACAAAGTGCATCAGTATAACCAAGATTATTATTTTGTCTGTTTGTTTTCTCAGTCCCACGTCTTCAATGATGTAGTAAGTAGGGAGACTTGGCAGAACCAGCTGACCAGTGAACAACGGGCACATCTGCTGGTAAGTTTTCATTCCACTCTCTTTCATGTGTTTCTATAGTTCTGATGCATATATATACCTGCAGGTTGACATATTAATTTTGAACTATTTTTCTCTTAAATTTTGTGTAATTATGCCTCAAATAGAACATGCTGTGATCATGAGTTAAGGTACATATAATGGAACCTAGAGCGAGAATCAGTAACTGTTGTTGATGATAAATAACCAAATGTTTCTTTCTAAACCATGTAGCATTAACTCTTCAGTGTATACCCAATTGATTATAAAGGATGTATCTCATATTGATTGTACAGTGTATCTCATATTGATTGTACAGTGTATCTCATATTGATTGTATAGTGTATCTCATATTGATAGTACAGTGTATCTCATATTGATGGTACAGTGTATCTCATATTGATTGTACAGTGCATCTCATATTGATTGTACAGTGTATCAAAAATTGATGGTACAGTGTATCTCAAATTGATTGTACAGTGTTTCTCATATTGATTGTACAGTATCTCAAATTGATTGTACAGTGTATCTCAAATTGATGGTACAGTGTATCTCATATTGATTGTACAGTGTATCTCAAATTGATGGTACAGTGTATCTCATATTGATGGTACAGTTTATCTCATATTGATTGTACAGTGTATCTCAAATTGATGGTACAGTGTATCTCATATTGATTGTATAGTGTATCTCAAATTGATTGTACAGTGTTTCTCATATTGATGTACAGTATCTCAAATTGATTGTACAGTGTTTCTCATATTGATTGGACAGTATCTCAAATTGATTGTACAGTATATCTCAAATTGATTGTACAGTGTATCTCATATTGATTGTATAGTGTATCTCAAATTGATGGTACAATGTATCTCAAATTGATTGTACAGTATATCTCAAATTGATTGTACAGTGTATGTCAAATTGATTGTACAGTGTATCTCACAGTGATTGTTCAGTGTATCTCAAATTGATTGTACAGTTTATCTCATATTGATAGTACAGTGTATCTCAAATTGATTGTACAGTGTATCTCAAATTGATAGTAGCGTATCTCAATTTGATGGTAGCGTATCTCAAATTGATGGTACAGTGCATTCTACATTTGATGGTACAGTGTTTCAATAATCAATTGTTCAGTGCATGAAAGGAGATTCATTGATTATATATATACAAAAATATTTGTTTTACAACATTATAGTATATCTGATGTAATATTGAAAATAAAATACTTTGTATATCTTTGTAAGTGTTACAAAATTCTTTCCACTGTTTAATAAACAATGAATTGTTAATTGTACATAGCTCTTCTGCATCACTTCTCTCCTACAATGTTTTTTCTTTCTTCAATTATTAAACAGACTTTCCTGCCAAGCTTTCCAGAGAATGACAAGAAGGGGAAAGAAGAAACGCTTGAGTGAGATATTCTCTAAACTTATTGTATTGTGAACACTGATATTCCTGGGATGTTTCTTGACTTTCAAGTATATACTTTTAACTAATGTACGAAACAGGAAAAAAGATATACAATGTATTACCTTACTTTCTGAATCAACGTAGTACTTTGTTTCAATTTCCTAACTTGACACATACATTAACAGTTGAAATGTCTTTCTCCTCTTCAGAGATCTTTTTGAGGGCGATAACTTCAAGTTTGGAAATCCATTGAAAGACTTCCATACCAAGCTGAGAGGTAAGTAGTGACGGGTTGCCTGCTTCCTACACATCATACGGTACAAAACGCTTCTCCTTTTTCTTCATGAACGTATATTTGCTGCAATATTTATTTCCTAGAAAACAGTATTCTTCACAGGGTTGTAGGATAATTGGGTGCTCGGAAAACGTAACTGGGTGCAGTTCACAGCAGAGTTTTGTCGGTATACATGCTTGTTGAATGTGATACAATGTATACAATTGACATTGTCTATTTTAAGTGTAAATTGTTATCATACACAATATTCTGTAATAGTGGCAACTATTGTTATGACTTACTTCTAAGTTGGTAACAAAGCATTTACCTGGTAATAAAATCTGAGTCAGCTGAAATGCAAGCATACAATTATTTCAGTTAATTTCCAAAATTTTATTTTGAATTTTTCATGCACCGTTAAAAACAAAAATGAAAAAAGGCTATGTGCCTGTCAAAAATGTCCTGGGGAGATTGCTAGAAACTGCAGAATTATGATTTTATCATGTCATTTATTTCAGATGGATTTTACTCTCCAGACATAGCCAAGTACACCAACTTATGTCGAACGGTCAAATACAGGGAGTATAAACATCGACAGCAAACATACTACTCGAACTTACTCAAGGAAATCCTTCTCTCGAGACAGGCAAGTCAAATTGTATCCCATAATAGTAGTTCCATAGTCTCAGGCATCCGGACAAAACTGTAAGCCGTATATATGACATTGGGCATATCTCTGTGCGGTCCATGCAAAATCTTTGTCTGCTGGGTGTCCCCATGCCCAACATGCTGGGCGTTGCACCAACCACTCATTAACCCTTTCACCCCTATGTAACTTCAATAAACTCAACTATAAAATGATCTGGATGAGTCTATTATGGTTTAAAGTGTTGAAAGGGTTAATATGCTATTTAAAAAGTCAATTTTTCCATTTATCAACCAATGTTGAATTTAACGTCTTATATAGCAAAAGTGACACAGAGTACTCGCGGCAAGTGGTCGGTGGATAAATACATAATTGAAACATTAAGTCATCATAATGTGGCGATGTACACATATTAGGAAATTGTTGAAATAGCTGTGCGCCCCGTGCTAAAATATTTCTGGGGGAGGTCTCGGGTATGGTCCATGCACCATATCTGTTCTACTGCTGATACAACAAACTCCAAATGCATTATCACCTGCCGCTGATCCTCCTCTAAATTTTGATATGCTTTATGTGTTATTGTTAAAGATTCTGACATTAGTAACTATGAACAGTGGGTGGTATATTCTGGAAAAGTTATTTAATTTTGTTTTTGTTTCCATATCCCATTACATCTTGGATTAATACGAGGGGCGATGAAATGTTCACTTGATATTAAACTACTTATTCCTACCGTAGATATTGATCAATATAATAAGTCTGTTTCTGCAGTTATAGATGTTAGGAACTACCGTTACCAATCTTGTTAACTGTAGATATTTAAAATGAATTTAGTTTAGATATATTTAGCATCAAACTAGCTACAAAGGATTATAGAAAATAGATATTTTGTTTCTATGCCAATTAAGTTTTCAATAAAATGGTGTTATTTTACAGAAAGTTTTTGAACAAATGAAGAAGATTCCACCAGACGGCCATGTGACGATGGAATACAGCCCTCCCCCACCACCACTCAGGGAACGCACTATAGAGCACAAAGTCAGGAAAAAATATGTCAGGTACATGTCTGCATGACAGTGGTAATGTATTTTCTTGTTTTGTTACGTTTTCTTGGTAATGCTTTTAATATAGAGCCCATGTTTATCACTTAAATCAGACGGCTAGATATACCTTTTACCATAATGTGTTTGGCATTTGTTCTCTTTTACATTGTCTTGAAACAGAAGCTTAATGTATACCAAAGTTAATACAGTGCATCAGTAGATATTTTTTTATATAAAACTAAGACCTGAAGATTAGTATTAAATAATGTTGTTTTTATTGACATAGCTCATGTTACTGCAAAGAATGAATTTATTTTCACAATTTTGCTCTAAATGGTTTATTTGGTGTAATGCGGTATTTGAATTCACAAAAGAAATTTTATCATATTGTATCAATTTGATATGTCTAAAACCATTATTCAATAGACTCCACACAAAAGTATGTATTTCACTGCACCAAGTATACTTGAACTACTCCGGAACTGATCATATAAGAAAATACAAAAAAAGGCCTGTGTAAGACTTATAAGAAATCCATCTGCAAGGTTTCTGGTAATAGTGGTAGGAGAGGACATTTCTGATTACAGTGTATCATGTGTGTGTTAATGTTGACCATTACAGGCTGATGAATGAGGTGCGGGAGGAGTGCGGTGTGGAGGACACATCGTCAGAGGAAGACGAGCATGATAGTGAGTATTAGGGCAGTAACGAATATCATGGGGACATTGATGTACCACTATACAGTGGGAACTATCAGTAGATATTTGGGCATTAGGGCGACATGAAATTGTAGGATGAAAGTGAGGGTTACAGAGATGGGGATAAGATGATTATAAATGAGCTTGGGGTGCCTGAAGTAGTATGATAAGTGATCATTTAAATTGCATATACAGTAAAACCTCACGTCCTCGGACTTGGTTTACTCGAATACCCCTCATTCGTCGAACAGTTCGTTTGGTCAACCCATGTCGAACCTCGGATTCGTCGAATACCATGTTTTCTCAAATTATTGATCTGGACTCTACGAGTTCAAGTAAATGGGGTTTTACTGTTTGTAATAAATTATATTCCAACTGTTGATATTGGCATCCGGTGTTATGATCTATCAATGTCAGCCTGCATCTGGCAATATCACCCACTTCTAGCTATATAAACCTGCACACTAGTCTATGGGAATTAAAGATGGAGAAAACGCACTGGAACTACTAGTATACAGAAGTATTGGGTAAAATGGCATACCAGTAACAGACAAAGGAAATTAAAAAAACTTTTATCAAGATTTATAAAAGTTGACTTTGACAACACAGGCATGTTCTTCGAAAATATGAAAAACTACATGAGAAAAAACCCGAAGTGATGGGTTTAAAATTGTGATTGACATGGAGTAGTTGGATTAGAGTGAGTATAAAGAAAATTAGTGATAATGTGATGCACACATTTTTTTTGTCAGAACATTTCCATATAGCTAACCCTTTCACCCCTATGTAACTTTAATAACCTCTACCATAAATTGATATGGATGAGTTCATTATGGTCTACAGTGTTGAAAGGGTTAAGACTTAAGAATATCAGTTCTTCAGATTCAGTCTGATAATTGATATCATATAACTCCCATATTAATGATTGACTAATGACGAGAGAATTGAACAAAAAAATTGTCTTGCTATTACTTAACCGTGTGGAACAGTTTTTAAATTACCATGATTTTAGCTAAATGTAAGTATGGTGCATTTGACATGCCGGGGACTGTAGGATTTACTTTGTTCCAGGTCCTGCCCAGAGAGGTAAAAAGCAATTGTTTAAATCCTTGTGTCCCATTCCTTCACCTGAACCTACCATCCCAAGCGTGGTTGCCACCTTTTCTGCCAAGCCTACAGTCAATGGAGATGTAACAGGTAACAAACAATCATATTACATCTCTACATAACACTTCATCTTAAACCTTGTGGCTGTGTATCCACTGACCTGTCCCACTTCTCCTTTAACTCATTCACCCCTGAAATTTCATAATGAACTATTTCAACCTATGAATTGGAAGAGTTCAAATATATCTTCAGGGGTGAATGAGTTAATCAATACTTATTGGTTTGTCCCATTTCTCCATTAATCTTACCCTTCATTCGGGTGCCCATCTGCCTTAATCACAGACTTCATAGGTGTGTGCCCTTCCTCTTTACCTCAGAGAAGTTACTGGTTTGCCCCTACTTCCTTAAATCAGAGTCTCTGTTTTTCTGTCACTTTCAACCTTAATCACTGACCTCCTTGGTGTGTAGCCTTCCTCTTTACCTCAGAGAAGTTACTGGTCTGCCCCTACTTCCTTAAATCAGAGTCTCTGTTTTTCTGTCACTTTCCACCTTAATCACAGTCTTTATTAACTCATTCACCCCTGAAATTTCATAATGAACTATATCCCAACCTTTGGATTGGAAGGGTTCCAATGCGTCTTCAGGGGTGAATGAGTTGCTGTGTTGCCTTCTGACTTAAACCACACACCTTTTCCTCCTGAAATCATAGTTATAGGTCTGCCCTGTCCTCCTTAAATCAAAGTCTTTATTGTTCTGTTACCTTCCTCCTGAAATCATAGACTTATTGTTTTATGATGCTGTTTACAAATATGGAAATGAATTAATTTCATCTGTCCTTTGGACTACTTTGATAGTAGGGTGAAACAGTTCACTGCTCCCTCATAAACTGTTTCCTGGTAGGTACATGCGCAATATATGCATTTTAATTTCACAGATATTTTTTCCCACAAATTTCTAAAGTAAACAAACATACTCAAAATAATGAACTTTTCAATTTTGGCCTCCATACATATTTTTCAATTGATTTACAGTTATTTTCAGTAAACAGATCATAACTAGTACATTGTTTAATTCCCTTCTAAAACATGACAATCTTTTGCAATTTTATGTATGAGCTAGCTTGTTGATTTTTCTCTGTAGAACTGTAGTATCTTTGATGCTGTTTTCGCTTTAGGAGAAGTTACGCCGCAGTCGAAACGGCAACGGCCATTCAGTCCTGTTGAAATATCAGAAGAAGATTATTTACTAATGTTAAAAAATCATAAAAAGAAAAAGCTGGAATCTGAGGTAAGTCAATATTTCAAACTTGTATGGAACAATGCCGCCTCTGGGTAATAAGTCTTCACTTAAGACCACAGTTATTTTCAACGAAGCTTCCTTATGGAATACGTATAGCTGTTTTGAGTTAAAAGGATAAATTCACAAACTTTCCGTTGAATTTCTGTGCTGTCTTACATACACCTGACTTGCCTTGTACATACACAGACTTTATTCTGACTATATAGGAATGTTTTACATTTCCTCGGCTGTCGGCTCTGTTATATAAATAAAGGCTGGTTGATATTAAAGGTAATAACATGATTTATGATTATTTTTGCAAGTCTTTGCTGATAACATCACAGCTCTGTAATTGTTAAGGAAAAGTACATATTATATTAGGACTCAACATAGTACTTATGTGCCGATATGAGAACATGACTTCATCACATGAGTGCTTTGTCGGAGGTCAAGGTCACTATTGATATAAATTTCAAACTTCAACTTCACCAGGTTTATTGGCATGCCTTCAAGCTCTTTGTCATTATACCATAAACACCGTTTCCTTTGTTCACTCTAAGACTGTGATATTCATGCTAAGTGTTAATATTGTCAGCATTCTGTTCAGCGTTGTAATTTTAAGCAAGCTCTCAGGCTGGTACATACACATTGTAAGTGGTCAATCTTATGTAAGATTTGTAGGGGAATTGACAAGACATAGAAATCATAAATCAACCAAACCAATTTTACACATTCTCAATTAAATGATAAACATTGAACTCTTAATTATGCTGGTTAAAGTGATTAAATGCGATGTTTCAATATTGAAATCTGTTATTATGAATTAAACAAGGCAAGATAATGTTATTGAGAACATTGATGATACAAACTTAACAATTAATTCTATTAAAGGATCTTAACTTACAGGAGTACCCAGAACTGAATACACAGAACATCACTATGCAAGACATTATGGCACGGTGTCAGGCCAGCAGGAAAACACCCAAGACACAACCCAGTATGTTATTTACAAGAATCAACTGAAATAAAACATTAAACAGTGAAATTTTTGGGAAACAATTTTCATAAATCTACCCATGCATGAAAAAACCATAACAAGACAAGTTAAAAAAGAGAACCCAAAGATTTGGTGAAAAAAAAAGAAAATTCATTATCTCATTTATAGAATTAATTGAATTATCCAATTTTATGGATGCTGCACATAATATTGTACAAAATCTTTTAGAACAACATGCTATATACTACCTTTAACCCTTTCACCACTGTATACCATAATAGACTCAACCCGATCAATGCATGGAAGAGTTTACTTAAGTTACATAGGGGTGAAAGGATTAAGTGATTTCATGGTATTTCTGAAAGTGTTGTCATGGCCATTTGATTTCTATTTCAATGTCCTGTAACTATTAAGTACATCTATTTCTTTTCAAGCTCCTGAAAATTCATCGTTATCATTAGCCAAGAAGAAAAAGATCAGATTAAAAGAGAAATCAGACAGAAAGCTGAAGAAAGTTTTGAAGATGAAACAGGAAAATGTGAAAATAAAGACAGAGCCGGGATATAATGAGGACGGGTCAGCCTTGGGGATGAATGATAGCTTTCTCAAGGGCGAGGATGAGGGGGTCCCAGACTTCCCTCTTCCAGAGTAAGTGTTTTAGTTAATCATTTCATAGAGCTTTAAACTTTAGGTGATTGCTAATGATTGGTAGATTACATATCAAATATACAGTGGCAGATGTTAAAAAAATGACCTGGATTATTATTTTTCATTTTTTTTTTACAAAATCGCCGGACAATTCATACACAATTTACACCTTTTTGTGCATACGCTTCACTGGTCATTTGTCTGATGAAGGTGACAGTGTACACATACTGTGCTAGTCATCAAAATGTCACATAGAAACTCTTATTGGTTGTGTAAAAAGAACTTTTCATGACCATTTATTAACCTGCACACAATTATTTGCCTAACCAGAACGTGTCCTCCCCGGCTTTCCTTCGGTCAGCACAACAACTTCTTTAGTCTCATCAAGGATCTACTCAACGAGTTCCAGGACGGCAAGTTTACCACTGCCAATGTAAGTCATTTTCGTTTTCCTGGTACTTCTTTCCAAATATCTGCACAGGTGTTGTACAATTTCAGATTTGTTGTATTTGCCTTTCGGCAGATTTTGAAAAATTCACCTGCACAGGTGTTGTACAATTTCAAATTTGTTGTATTTGCCTTTTGGCAGATTTTGAAAAAATCACCTGCACAGGTGTTGTACAATTTCAGATTTGTTGTATTTGCCTTTTGTCAGATTTTGAAAAGTTCTACTAGCCCAACATATATCTCAATAGTAAATATTACAATTTTCAATGCACCGTAATTACATAAAATCTACCAGTCTAGGAATTGTGCACCCCTGTTGATCAGAAACTAATGCTTCTTCATGTAAGCGATACTATTATGATGCCCCTTATGGTCCTAAACAGATGTTATTTTAGGTCACTATTATTGTCCTGAACAGAATATTATTTTCAAGTCATCAGAAATCCCTGCCTCCTACACACAAGCACGCATACACAACACACATGGAGGCATGTCCTTAAATGACCTTAGCTGTTAATAGAACATTAAACAAAATAAAACCAAACCAAACCAATCTGAAATACAATAGGGCAATAATGGCCTCTTTTAGTTGAGCAACACATTCAGATTTTGACCACCAAAATTACACTATTTTTAACATTATACATTTGACTTATTTGTGAGAACACATACCTTGGGTATATTCAAAACTGGTAACATTCTGAAACTTTTTATGATCTTTTAACTGTATAGTTCCTGACATAGAGTCCTATCATCAAAAAAGGAAACATTCTAAAATATTTCTGCATAAGGAAGCCCCCTTGGTTTATGCTACTGGCCTATAGTTGTCTTTGTTTGAATGGCTCACTACATGTCATTGATAAATAGGTTAGATTAGACATTGCTATGTAAGGAGAGTGTGTCTAATGTTGTTTTGTTGTTACAGCTGGAGGAGAAAGTCCGAGAATGGCAGGAGGCTCCGACAAGTTCCCTCAACAACTGGTTTAATCAACAGACAAACTGGGTGGACATTGTCATGTCTGCACTCAAGTTCTTGGCAGGGGACCTCATAGGTAAGTGGGAATTACCTAGGCTACATTCGCGTATCTTGTTGAACCTGTAAAGAAAACGACAGGCACAGATCTGAACCGAGGCTGACCTCAGGAAAATTTGTCACATGTAGATTGAGGGGTCCAGACATCCCTGACCAAAACTAAAATGCTGACTATTGCTAGTTTGCGTTATTTATTTCTAAACAATGTCAAGTCACATGTAGTTTTTAGGTCACCTGAGCTTTAGCTCAAGTGACCTATTGCTATCCGTTTTCGTCCGTCGTCGTCCGTCGTCCGTCGTCCGTCGTCCGTTAACATTTTACATTTCAAACTTAAAGTCAAGTTCTGCTGGGCCGATTGAACTGAAAGTTGGTAGGAATGATCGCCTCATGGTCCTGACAAAGTGTTGTTATTTTTCGGGTCGATCAGAAATCCAATATGGCCGCCACGGCCGCCATTTTGAAAACCTATTTCAAACTTAAAGTCAAGTTCTGCTGGACCGATTGAACTGAAAGTTGGTAGGAATGATCGCCTCATGGTCCTGACAAAGTGTTGTTATTTTTCGGGTCGATCAGAAATCCAATATGGCCGCCACGGCCGCCATTTTGAAAACCTATTTCAAACTTAAAGTCAAGTTCTGCTGGACCGATTGAACTGAAAGTTGGTAGGAATGATCGCCTCATGGTCCTGACAAAGTGTTGTTATTTTT